GTTAGTTTGAGTACTTTGCTCACACTATACGTCTGCACACGTGACTCGCTGCTTTGGTTACATCCTTAGGCTTACCTCTTTCATCCCAAATTGGTGACTATATTTTTTTTAGTGCTGTCAGCGTTAACGCGCCGTCACCGTGACTAATGCGATTTACAATTAACGTATCTGCAGCGCAGACTGACTCAAAATCCCTGAAATGTCTCTGTCAACGGATTTTGGCAGTTTCTCCAAAGTTTGTTCATTAAAATTTTTAATCACGTTAACGTGATGACCGCGTTAACGTGATGACCGCGTTAACGTGATGACCGCGTTAATGCCGACAGCCCTAATTTTTTGGGGGTTAATGAGTTCGTCCATGTTTGGAACTCTTCTGTGTTGTAAACGTGCAAATCAGTCTGTGCATGATTACTTTGCTCCGCCCATCAAAAAGTCTGCGCATCTGTTAATATATCGCCCATCAGCGATTATTGGACGGATGATTGTCGGTTGGAAAATTTTTACATATCGCCCAACCCTAGTTTACAGTCTGACACACACACACACACACACACACACACACACACTAAAGTAAAATATTTGCCTAGATAATCCCCATAAAAACTCTAAACAACCCACTATGACATAAAGAGACTCACAGCTGTGGGGTCAACTCTGTTTACACGACTCCCAGCAGCAGACGTTCACTCTGCACAAACTTCCTCACACTGCGACCGGCCTCATAAACGTGACAGCTCTTGATAACAAAGACACCTGTGCAGCATGTCCTCAGATATCAGTGGCCAACAGTGTTAGTTGGTGGGTATTTTTTGCTTTATGGTGACCTGTGAAAGGTACGGGAGTCTAAAGGTGCACACACATCACACACCTGTCAGAATGGTCTGGAAGGCCGTCTCTACGTTGGTGGAGTCCAAAGCCGACGTCTCCAGAAAAGATAAGCCATTCTTCTCTGCAGGGCAAAGAGGAACAATCCTTATGAACAGATTATATGTCGCATTTACACAAACAATGAGTCAGTCTGAGCCATCACACAGGTTTATCTGAATGTGTGCACCACACAGTTACACACAATTACTTCACTGCGTATCACAGCAAATGAAAGATCTTATTACTACTATCACTAATGCATTGATCCTCAGAGCATAGTTCTAATATTTACAATTTTTATAAGATTTCAGGCTCTAGAATTGCCATTTAGGCTATCCTCATCCTATCACGAGATTTCTGTGTAATTGTGATACTTAATAGACACTTTATTCCACAGGGAAACAGAAAAGGATGTCTCACCAGCAAAAGCGCGGGCCTCATCAGTGGGAACAGCCCTGAGGTGGCGCAGGTCACTCTTGTTGCCCACCAGCATGATAACGATGTTGCTGTCGGCGTGATCCCTCAGCTCCTTCAGCCAGCGCTCCACGTTCTCATAAGTTAAATGCTTGGCGATGTCGTAGACCAGGAGAGCACCAACGGCCCCGCGGTAGTATCTGCATCAGAGCCACGTGCACATCGACACACTCGTTATCACGCTGTCGCAGCGAGAGCTGGAACAAACCTGAACACTGTGTGCAGCTGCTGGGGGCTGTGGTTTATTATTCCGTCAACATTAGCTATGGTTCAACAACTGAACTACATCAGCCCACAACACATCATTTCCTCAAGAAACTGTCAGCTTATTGACTTTGTTTTGGGGTTTTTTGAGTAAAAAAATATTAATATTCCAAGAAATTTACTGGGTTTTTGAGAGTGGAGAACTGTGGATGTTTTTTGGATAACAATGTTCCCATGAAATATCCAACTCATCCGATGGAATTATTACATAAGTAACACAGGTGGTTATTAACTTAATAAATTAATTCACTGACATTTAACAAGAGATCTAGGTCGTGAAACCTCCTCTGGCAGTCGCTGTTATACTCACGCTGAGGTTATGGCTCGGTAACGCTCCTGACCCGCTGTGTCCCATATCTGGGCCTTCACCGTCTTGCCATCCACCTGGATACTCCGCGTGGCAAACTCCACTCCGATGGTGCTCTTGCTCTCCAGGTTGAACTCATTGCGGGTGAAGCGGGACAACAGGTTACTCTTCCCCACACCCGAATCCCCAATAAGGACCACTGAATCACACAACGGAGAAAAGGCAACGTAACTGAATCTGGGCAAGAAAACAGT